ATCATATTTTTAAGTTCTTAAAATAAAATTTTTATTTCTTTACGCACTTTACATGAAGGTTAAGTAATTAACTTGCATATATTAATGATCTCAAAATAAGCAGATACAAAATTATTGCGTATTTAATTACAAGGAACAGTTAAAAAATGTAATTAAAAAAAAGAAAATTCTAAATGGAAACAAGCTTTAAATCGACTGTTTCATGTAATTTGAAATTGAACGACTTGTAATCACAGATGTGCGACTTACGAGACTCCCCTTAACTGCAGAGTCACTTGGTTCATTCGATCCTGTAATAGAGTACGTAAATACTTAAGTGGCTATGTAAACTTTCTTATTGTTAGTCAGTATAACGATAATAAACGAAGTTACACGAGTGTGTTGTAAGTAGGTAAGTTTTTATTATTTCTTGAAACTGGTACGGTGTACGAAAGGATAGCATTGGCACTTGACGATCTTGTTTGGAAAATTCCGATATTTTCTTACACTATTACATTTTATCTCGTAACACGTGAAAAATCTATGTATGTATTTGGTGAAAGTGCTGTTTAAGGAATCGACGTATCTTCGATAAACACGACCTTCGCATATGTATGTTGTCAAGAACACCCCTCTAGATGACCACCAGAAAGATTTAGCCGATGTTTGCTGTTTGTTAAAATGTTATCAACAAAATAACATTTATAAGCGCGGAACTTATAATCTCGATACTCGGTTGTGTTTAGATTAGTACAATTGTATATATATTCACTTGATACACACATAAATTATGCTTTTGCTGTAGTTAAAGCAGAGAGTACTATTTATGCGGAGGTCATTTAGCGGAATTATCGTAACAATATATGTAAAAGTCAAGGATATGAGAGGTTGGTCCCTTCATCGCATCTTTCCAGAATGTAATTGATAATGCGTTTGTACAATGAGAAAAAGTTATAAGGAGAACGAAATAAATTTTTACAGAGAGCTAGTTGAGAAATTAACGCAGCAGTGCCCGGAAACCGGCACTGCTGAAGTGATAATACTTCCATGTCTGTGACTATGAGTTACTATAAATGACTATTCTTATTAAGTCGGTATCTTTATGATGAAAATTGCAGTATTACAAATATTTTTCCAGGACGATAATTTCTCTATTTATGTAAATTATAAAATGATTATTTCAGCAACACAACATATATTGCACTTCAAAATATCTTTCGTAAAGCAATATTGATATTTTTAAGGAACCAATATGAAAAATACTGAAGGAAAAAATTGTGAAACAATTATTATTTTATAACTTAATGTGTAAAAATCCGGTGGTGAATTTTACTCTAAATAATTTTATGTATCAAATTCATTATATAAATATGAAAAATAAAGCTTTTATAGATTCATAAACCTATTTATATTTGTATACACTGTGTATAAATTGCTTGAATAATACAATTCATATTATTTATGTGACGGTAATTACTCTAGTTTTAAT